GTGGTATCGAGGTGCACGAGGGCTTCGCTGACCAGCATGCTCAGACAGCTGGTCAGATCCTCGGGGAGGTTCGCAACCTCATGGACCAGCACAACACCAATAGTATCACCCTTGTATGTTGGACCTTCATCGGGGTTGAACTCCTTGCTTACTTATCTGTGTCGCGCTACAGATCGGGCACTCCCTCGGCGGGGCGCTGGCTGAGCTTGACAGCTTGTATATGCGTCTCAACATCCCCAACGCGTCCGTCAAGGGAGTCACGTATGGCACACCGCGCGTTGGCAACGACGATTTCGCGTCCTATTTCGACGGCCAGGTGTCCGACTTTACGCGGATCACCAACCGAGACGATCTCATCCCCATCGTCCCCGGGCGTTTCCTCGGCTTTGCGCACCCACATGGCGAGATCCATATCATCGACGACGGGGATGCCGTGGCTTGTTCTGGTACGTGTTTCGCTGCGCGTACGCATTGTCACGAACTTACGGTGCTAATGCTTGGATTGGATGTAGGTTCGGATAACGAAGACGACCAGTGCATCACCGGGCAGGTCGGCAACATCTTTGAGGGCAACATTATCGACCACTTGGGTCCTTATGAAGGCATCTACATCGGCACGCTCTTTTGCAACTAAACGAGGAACACGACGGCGGAGACAGACTCGGGGCCCTCCTTTTTTACGTGACATTATTTATCGTGCTTTCTTTGATATATCCAGTCGTTCTACGTCGACGGGGAAACCCAGGCGGAGGGTGGTGAGGATGAAAAATACCTCGCATCTTCATCCGTCACGCAGTCCAGGGATCTGAGACACGCCGGCAGTCATTCGCGACTTGCAACCATGTGGGCATTTCTTCCTCTGGAGGTGGGGGAGGAGGGACCGGCGAAGGCGTCTGCAGCATTTGGTGGGCATCATCTCACTGCACTATTGCAAGGCGGTGGCGATCGACATGCTGCGATCCGGATGCCTGAAAAGTCTGTGGTGCTTATTGGGTGCTTACGACAGCATTCCCGACGCGAGCCGGCGGGATCAATTGTCTACGGATCACCCTTGAATTTGGAAAGGTCTGATCCGTCGATTTGGTACGGCTACGCGCCTACGCCTGCACCTTGCGGTCCTTGCCCTGGATGCATATAAAACCAGCAACGCCCTCCCGATGGATTCTCATTGCAGCTCCCCCCTTCATCTTCTCCTTTCTTTTACTTCCTCTTCTCCGTCTTCACGTTCTCTCTTACGACTCCGCAGGCCCGGCTCGCCCCCACCAGCTTCATCCAAAGCATCCCCGCACCGTCCGACCTCACACTCATTTCTAACCTGAACCGATGTTCTTCCCCCCAGCTCTCATCGCGTCCGCGCTGTTCGCGGCTGCCTTGGCCGCGCCCGCGCGCAACATCGTGCTCAAAAAACGCGACTCCGTCACGGCAGTATCCGCCAGCATGCTCTCGTCCTTCGCGCCGTTCACCCAGTTCGCGCGCGCGGCGTACTGTGCCTCGAGCAAAGTTCAAAACTGGCAATGCGGAGGTGCGAAGGCGTTTTCACTTGTATCGTACGGCGTGTTCTAACATTGCGCACTCGATCGTCGTCAGAGGCGTGCGATGCCCTACCTGGGTTTCAGCCTACCCTAACCGGTGGTGATGGTAGTTCTGTTCAACTTTGTACGTCGCCCGATCTTCTGCGCGTTATTTAGATAAACTTACCTGGCGCAACGATGGGTAGTCTTCGTCGGTTATTGGCCGGACCAGGACACCGTCGTGGTCTCGCATGAAGGCACAGATCCCACCAAGCTGTGAGCTCGCCTGCCCCTTATCGGTTCACACGTTCCCTCACACGTTCGCAGCGAGGCGGACTTGACCGACATCAACATCGACATGACTACGCTCGACCCATCGCTATTCCCCGGTGTCCCCGACGGCGTGCAGACGCACGAAGGTTTCACGGATGAACACGCGCAGACGGCAGGTAACATCCTCAACGAAGTGCGCAACCTCATGAGCCAACATGGCACCAACAGCGTTACACTGGTGTGTGTCCCGCATCGCTTGCCTCTTCCTCATCTAACGAATGATGGTCTCCAGATCGGTCACTCCCTGGGCGGTGCCCTTGCTGAGCTCGACAGTCTGTTCATGCGCCTCAACCTTCCGAACGCGACGGTCAAGGGCGTCACCTACGGCACGCCGCGCGTGGGCAACGACGACTTCGTCGCCTTCTTCAACGCGCAAGTGCCCGACTTCACGCGCGTCACGAACGAGCACGACCTGGTGCCCATCGTGCCCGGCCGTTTCCTCGGCTTCCAACACCCACACGGCGAGGTCCACCTCATCAGTCCCGGTAACGCGGTCGCGTGTTCTGGTGCGTTCTGATCCTCGTGGACGTGCGTTGCTGTGCGGATCGTGGGACTGACCCTGGGCGAGCAGGCGACGATAACGACAGCGATCAATGCATCGTCGGCGCGGTCGGGAACGTCTTCGATGGCAGCATCGACAACCACTTGGGCCCGTACGAGGGTATCTCTCTCGGACGCGCTGCGTGCGTTTAAAAGGGCCTCAAGCGCGGCTTTGGTGGACGCTTCACTGATACCTTATCCTTTCACCGCTTGGGCATGGGGTCGTAGGGGTTCTTATTGTTAATTTATGTATGTATCGGGCTCGATGTACCATTCTTTTTGTTCACTTCTCCACGGATGTTGCTTTCACAGGGGTTAAACTCGAGCGATGTATCCTGTAATCACAACTTCCTAGTGTCTTGTGTGAAAACATGATGAATCTGGCTAATACTCCTAGAGGTAATCCATGGTCAACTTTCTATAGTAACTCCGAGATGGCTTTCCCCAGGGAGGGTTTTAATCTATGCAAAGCCCGCAAGCAACTCAGTCGGCACTTTTATTAGGCATGGACTCACTCATCGCTGCGACAGCAAAACCTAAAAGGCTGCTCCTGTCTGCGACCTCATCGGAGTCCGGACTAGCCCTGCCGCCCTACCGTCCTCGGGCCTTCTTTCGACGTTTCGTACGGCTACACGCCTACACCATGTCTACACAATCACAAAAGGCGTAGGAAAAAGCTGGTTCGATCCGGGCTCGAACCGGAGACCTCCTGTGCGCATTTGTTATATGTGAGACAGACGTGATAACCAACTACACCATCGAACCGATGACAAAACAGCGGTAGAGTATGCCATCCCGTCTGGTAGGTAGAAACCGGCAGATGCCGAAACCTTATTGCCAGCTGTTCAAATCGTTGATTTGCTCCCGAGCTCAGTTTGTCCAACTTTTCAACTCATTTACTTACAGCATTCGAGAGCAAGGAATGGTCGACTCTGCACAGCTTGTACGGCATAATATTTGGTGCGACAATAGACGATACATACTTAGCGATCAAGTAGGCTATGGTGCGACAAAGAACAGGGTTTCCAACAGTAGTACGCGCCCCACCGTCCATCGACCAGGGATCCCCACTCGAAGCAAACCGTGAGCTTCTTCCCAAACCAGTACTGCAAACTTGGCCATCCAACGTCAACCCGCGGCTTTTTTGTTAAGTACCGATCGTCATCTGGGTTACGTTCTTCCACATGCGCAACAGGAACTCGAACACAAGCCGCGATAGCGCCTTCGTCGGTCCACCGGCAGACCTTGTGAAGGTGAGACCGGTTCCATGCGTATTGAGTGGTCACGGAGTGTTGGCAGGAAATGCGTGGGGTTGCCGGATACCAAGGCGTGGACTAGGTGGCAGACGACGACCGCAAGTACTGTTCTGTGATCGGAAGTCCAGGGTTTCTGAGTCCAAGGGCCAGTCGGAGGGCTTGGAAGTACGTGGATTGAGATATTGATATCGCGATGGGGAGGGCATGCGAGAAAAAGCAGTCTAGTGAGGATTGAACATGGAGAGCTCGTTTGGTCTCGGACCCTCGGTATTCGTCGTCGGTGGGATGGACATCCACCGTAAGATGCAATGCCCTTCTTGCCTAAAGACGATGATGCGTTATTTCTATTTCACGGTGCAAGACGGGTTAGACGTAACGCACTGGACTACACGCCCTTCCAGCTCACGCCTCCGCCCCGGAAGGGCCGCCTTGAGCTGGCAATATCTGCTCGTTACCGCGGAAAACGACATGGCCGACATCACGTTCAAAGAGGGGTGGAAGACGTGCCGCCACCGTCTTTCCTTTCTTGTTTTTCTTTGACTTTTTTGGATCGGAATCGGAAGCTTCGCCATCCAGCGCCATCGCTACATCCATATCATCGTCAACCGGGACGGGTGGTGCAGGAATGCGGCGAGCTGAATGACAATTATGGCAGGTAGTGGTAACAAGCTGTCCATGCGACCTGGATGCTGACGAGATGAGAGATGTGTGAGAGGGGATAGGAACAAAAGGGTAGGTGCACGTACGCTGAACACGAACGGAAGCGGAGAGACCGGGGACAAGAACGGCATCGCACCCTTTACATAGCGTACGCTTCACAGTCGGATCCCTGAAATACAACGTGGGGTCAGAATGCGGGGCGATCCACAACGAGTCGCCACGCACATCTTTACGGTCGCCTTCTGAGCCACTTGCTTCATCGTGCGCACGTAGCCTCGCGCGACGTCGTTCGTTGAAACGATGCGGGTCCTTCGTCGCGGCAACTTCTCCTCTTTCTGTATATGTAGAAACTTGCTATGTTTTTTCTTCTTCACGGCCGGATGTGATGCCGAGACTGAATTGGATGGCCCAGTAGGAAGAGAGTCGCCAACGGTGGATGGAGAGATAGATTGAAGGTACACCGAGGCTTGGTACAGGAAGTTGAGGCGCTGTAGAACGTCGCGGTTCTGTATATTGTGGGGGTTGGGTACAGTGACCGTCTTGTCTTTCTTTGCCATCGTGGAAGACACTAAAGCTGACAAGTTGAAAGTTGGTTGGGAGTTGGGAGCACGAACTTCACTGCCACGAAGAGCGTGCCATTTCGGCGAATGCCGATCCGCACTGAAGAAGTAGTATTAGGAGTACGCCGTGAAATTGAATCGACGTTCCCTCCTCCCACATCTACAGCAGCAATTCACCTTCATCCGTCCTGCTTCATCGCAGCTACTCTCCTGAAGTTCACCAATACCTCTAGATACCCCCCAGCTTAAAGTCCCGGATAACGATGGCCACTCTCACGCTCTATTACCACTACCCTTTCTCATCGATCCCAATGGACACTCACTTGAAACCAGCTCATGCTCTCGCAGATGCACACATCGACTGCTTAGTCTGGGCGGACGACGCAATGAGCCATTTGTTTCACATTCCACCCGACCCCTCACTGGAACTCGTCGTTCCGGACGAAGATCTCGAGAAAGCCGTCCGCGCCATCACTTCCGCGTTGCCTTACAATCGCAAGGCAGGGCCATGTCCCTATTGACTAGAGTACAGCATGTTCGATCCCAGGACACCGAGCTGTTACCCTGAGTCGATTTGGCTCGAGTTGACGACACCACCATCGGAGCGCCACGATGATGACCCAATTAACATATTCATCCACCCCAGCTCGTACTGGTCCATCGACGTCCGCGACGCCTCGCTCGACCCTTCACTGTATCCCGCGAACGTCGACATCCGTTTTCCGACGCGCACGGCATTCATCGACTCTTTGATTACTGCCATGCTTGACCCGCCCATCGGGTTTCGCCACAAGCGGCTCCATAATCAACTGCAAGTCTACACAGTCACCGTGTGCAGCCGCACGCTCCCTGATTCCTGAACACCGCGTCCTGCCAGACGGGCAAGTTGAACCGGAACATGCCAAGGTCCTGGAGAGCCTGAAGCCCGAGGACAGGCCTTTCTTCAAGACGTTTATCAGGACGCCGTTTCGTGGCAGTTCTTGGCCGGCAGACGTCCAGGCTCGTCGACTCGCTCTCGAGCGCATGGGGTACGTTTTATTATATATATCAATCCCTCGCTCCTTATTCAACGAGATGGCGAGAACAGACGGACGGCTGAGGCGCAAAAGCCCTTTCCCAGAGATATCTGGCTCGCCACCCAACCCGCCCCACTAGTTGTCCGTTATCCCAACTCGATTATCTGCATTTTAGAATGGTTCGCCAGTTTCACACTCAGGCTCGAATAGAAACGTCTCCGGACAAATCTCCTGTAGCTTTGTGCGTCACCCGGTGATATACATGGGACGTGCACCCCCTGACAGTAGCCTTTTCTAGAGCCCGGAAGCCTCTCACTGCTCCAAACGTTGTCAACGTGGGACGGTCGTTCGCTCGGATCCAGAATATGGTGCGCAAGAGAGGGTGACATGTTGAGACAAACTCACCATTATCGTCGGTGAGAGCTAGGATGGAGAAGATATACATGTGTAGAGAGAATATTAGTCCTGCCTAATCTCCTTTCTCCTTCGTCGAGCGTGCACACGGGCATGGTCTGTTTGAGTTTTTCTGCCCCCACTGTTATCGAGGTTACCTTAACCATCGTCATTGTCGTCGGTCGTCGATTCGCGGAGTCGACAGCAGAGAGGACGATATACATAGGCAAAATATGGAATAGACTTGTACCAAAGCTTGTTGATCTCCTGGGGCATCTGGGTCAGCGTTGGTCAATCTTTTCGCCCGACGGGAGACTGAGAGGAGGCCAAATTGGTCACGTGCCAACGCGCTCGTAGTTTCTTCCAAGTTCCAGCTACTCCTGCGCCGCGGTCTTTTCTTCATGGACGACGGACTTTCGTCAACTAGTCAAGCTTCAAGATGGATTCTCCCGATTACTACTGGGACTCTTCCCCGTACTCTCTTCTCACGATGGAAACCCACCCCAAGCCAGCCCGTGCCGCTACAGATTCCTCCACTCCGTGTTTGGTACGGGCTGAAGCGCGCCCAGCTACGCGTCCGTCTGGTTCTAGCTGACGACGCCACAAACGGCGCGCCACGGGGACGACCTACGAGGATCCTGAACTTGAGAAGGTTTTGACGCAAGTGTCTCGTCTGCCTCTGGGAGACTAGGACGACCCCGTCGATGTGGTCCTCCATCCCTCTTCTTATTGGTCATTCGACGTTCGTGACCCCTCCCTCTCCCTCTCCCTCATCCCTCCATTGTCACCAGCGCGCGCAAACCTCCGTTTTACAAAAACCGCGTCGTTTTGGATTCCTTGATCACCACCATGCTCGAGCCGTCCATCGGGTTCCGCCACCAAAGGCCGAGACAAAAAACCTCGTCTTCATCGAGTACATCTGCGTGTACCACCTCCGGGCTGAGAGTCCCGTTCCTGAGAACGGCAACATAGACTCTGCGCTCGCCGCGGTCCTGCCGGACTTGACGCCGGAGAACGCGTACTTTCGAATCGTATGTTCGAGGTAATAGTCAGGGCTGGGAATTGGACGTTAAGGCTCGTCGGTCTATGCTCGAGCGCGTGGGGTACGGTTTATTCTGCTCTACACTCCCGAACCTTCGTTGACGAGTGTGCACTAAAAATTAGACGTGTGGATGACGCGAAAACCCCTCCCCAGGGATACTTGGAGTAATTTACGACACGGCCTAAAGTGCGTCCGATCTGCTTTATGATTGTTTCAAGTCCTTAAGTACCCCTGCTCTAGACGGTCTCGAGGGCTTCACAGTTCCGCTCCGACCCAAAGAATTTCCTCGCGCATGAGAGAGCCTGAGATTGTGTGAGCAGCTGCCGTACATGACGAACCTTCCTCGGAGAGTCTGACCAGCTTCGGTAGAGCAAGACCACCTCGTCCCTCTCCAAGTATTCTGAACAATGGGCGATCTTTTTCTCGTCTACTGACTTTGGTGCGGAAGAGAGGGTGAGATGGAGCCCACTGCTCATCCGAAGGAACGACGCGTGCGAGCGTGCTGAGCCGGCCGTTGGCGACGCAACTCCCCGGAGGGACGACCTTTCAGATTTCAGCTTCTACTGTCGTGCTTAAATAATGATAAACTCATATCTCGTATGTTTCTTGTCCGGTCAAGTGCGTATATGCGCGTACAGAACAAGCCAATAACTGACATAACACGCAAGATCGCCATAAAAGCACCTCTCGGGACTGTCTACGGAGTGTTGTGGGTCGGGCTAGCATTTAGCTGCTTGGTGGATGAAATGACGGTGGCTGGGCTGACAGGCGAGTCTATAGCGAATTGGCTTGCGCGCGCCCGTTCATATTGGTTTTTTTACCCCAAGAAGACCCATGC